GTTCGCACTAGCTCCGCTATCAGGCTCCATGTTTGCGTCTAAGTCTGCTATTCTTAGTGTAACAGTGTTTGTAATCTTGCCTGACCTCACGCTTTTAGCTTGATGAGTGAYGTGTCTTGCTGTTTGTTCTAAATAGTCGTCGTCCGAGTCACTGTTCGAATCGACGGTCTGTTTCACTCTCTGTTGAGGATTTCTTTGCTTGTCGTTTCTACCGCTCTCTGGTTTTCTTGGCTGTTCTCTCGCGCTGTTGCAACATCTCGCGAAGTGATTGTATTTCCCGCACTTCAAGCATTGCTTCCCGTATGCTGGACACGCTTGACCTGGTTTGTGCGTTCCCGCGTTGCCACAATAATAACAAGGTTTCCAGTCTTTCTTTGCTTCAGCCTTGGTCGGTTGTCTCTCTCTTTCTGGCTTCCGGTAAAGTTTCGCTACTTGGTGTTCGTCCTTCATGTCTTTGACTTGCTGGGTAATGTCTTCTCGCTGACTTGCTTCGTCGATGAATTTGTCRAGATCCCATCTCTTTCTTATRCACTGCTTAATGAGGTCTTCGTCTCTCACAGTTTGAATGAGGTGCTCTAGAATTCGGTSGTYGARTTGRKYTCCAAATTCGCARTCCTTTGCTTTCTCTCTCATTCTCGCCGCGTAGTTYACAATGCTCTCGTTGGCCTCCATTCGTTYTTTGCTGAACGTGTACCTTGCGTGATGTTTGTTCTTTTTGGGTAAGAAATGGCTGTCTAGTTTTCTTTTAAGTTTCTTGTATTCATCGTCGTTTTCCTCCGCTGCTGGTTCTGGCAAATTCCGAGCGAGTTTCTTGATATCTGGTCCGCCGTAAATCTTCAACGCGCTGACCTTGTCTTTGACCTTGTTAATTTCTAAATACGATGTTTCTTCTTCAAAATCTTCGATCCACTCTTCCCATGCTCTTCCGATCTCTAATCGATTTTCGGGAATTCTGAATTTCTCTATGCTTAGCGCTTTTGTCGTTGTGAAGACTCGAATTTCTTTGTTTTCTGCTGCTGCTTCTTCGTTGTCCGACATGTTGATTTCTTTTGATTTCCTCGTGCTTGAGTGTCTCTCTTAAATAGCTTCGCTTATACTTCGCTTCGATGTCTGTTTTTGCTGTCTTTCTCTTCTTTCCTCGATCTTGAGTTGATCTCTGGTGCTTCTTTTGTGGTTCTTGCTCGATTTTACCCTTTATTTTCGGTTTTTGATCCCGTCCTCGTCGCCAATGTAATGATTAGACGCCATCGCTGGTCAACTCGTTTATTGCACAATAACCTTGTTGCTAGGTAACATAATACTTAATCCTGATTGGATACTACAATCTATGAACACCAAAACAGAGTGGAACACTGTCTTAATACCACGGGCTAATATCGAACTGTCGTAGAAATACTTGTTGTAATCATAAATGTAGTCATAGCTGTCTAATTAGCGCGCGCTTTCTACAGAGCGCGCGCGATTAGTTTAAAAATCGTAGAAATCCAAACGTACAGATTGTAAACTTAAGGAATTGAAAAGGTCCAATCTGGGACGAAACTAGTTTTCCTTAAAATAAAGTTTCTTGGCGTGACTGTGTGTTAAAGACTTCACGTATTGGGTTTAATCTTATCCAGCATTATGAAATTGAAAAAGTCTTTAGATTTTCGAATTTTACAAATATCAAACTGAAAACATATCTGTTCGTCAATTGAGTAAAGCGTTCATCAATATCCTCATTGTTAAAATGTTTTCGTACGTAGGATTCATTATAAATACTAGGGTTTTGTTTCTTCTACGTGTGTTTTAATTTTCCGAGCTTTCGGACAACTTGTCCATCATCAGGGCAAAATGAAATTACAATGCGTGCGCGAGGATACAAATGTAAACAAAACACTATGGTAACATAACTGCTTAAGAGCGCTCAATGGTTCAAATCAATTAACATACTGCGCGTGCATAGAATTACACGAAAAATCATTGGATTACAATAGAAAGGATAGAATGTTAAGACTAGTTAATGTGTTAAGAGTTCTTTATAAGAATCAGGCAGAGTTCGTCCACTATTTTTGTTAAAAAGGCAGTTTTTGTTCTTTGAAATCTTTATAGCTTCAAGCCAGTGTCTTTGTATCCATCTAGGTTCTTGGGCGAGGATTGAAGACTCTTGCCACGCGATATCATGTCCTGTGTGGTTAGCATGGTCTGCTAATGCAGACTTGTCACATTTGTCTAAACGCACACAGGTTCGCACGCATTGTAATTTCATTTTGCCCTGATGATGGACAAGTTGTCCGAAAGCTCGGAAAATTAAAACACACGTAGAAGAAACAAAACCCTAGTATTTATAATATCCTCATTGTTCCACGTGTAAAATCGTGTTTTGTGTATTAGCATAAATTGTTCCTCATTAGCATTTTTTATCCGGTTATGTGAAATCGTTCTATTAAATGTGGTAAAAAAAACAAATCGCACATGGTTTTTCGTCATATGCACTCTTCTTCTCGGAATATAAATCAAGCCGCCAATGGTAACACAACCCGAAGATTGATTGTGTAGACAAATTGTCCATTCCGAAACTCAAAAGGAGACTGGGAACGAGTGCGAAAATACTATATTTGTCTAAAACTGAACCTCACCACATGAAAGACCATACTAAAATAGGGATTCTTGTCTGAATACAATTTTGTTTTTCGTTAAATTATAAT